AAAAAAAAAAAAAAGAAATCATTGAACAAATAATGTTTCAAATAAAAAACAATTTTAAAGAGTAGAAAAAAAACCAATGTAGCTGAACCCTGATCCCTGCCCATGGAGCTGCAAGGGTCCATTCCTGCCCTAAGGCAGGCGGTGGCAAACTGTGGATGTGCTGAGACCAATACCCCTACGGGCTCCAAATGGTCACGGCTCTGGCAGAGACAGTGGCGGGGCCAAGGTCAAGCCCAAGTCGGCCTCCACTGAGGTAAGCCAAAAGCCCCCAGCCCCTCAAAACCCCGTGGGTCTGTGCCTACTTATCTTTATGCTGCTCCTCCTGTGTTCCAGCAGCATTGAATTTCCCTCTAAGCAACTCTCCTGTGCTGATTTCTGCAGAGTCCCTCTGGTATGTGTCACTCCGTCGCCATCCTGTTTCGAGTTAGGTGAATGGATTTGGTTCACAAACCAGTCAAAAGTTGAAATCCTTCGTTGTGAAACTTCAATGTGCAAGACAGTAGTAACAGACTTCTAGCTCCCTAGACTGGATCATACTTCTCTGTGGCAAATATTTGATCCCCGTGGAATGCTCAGGCTGCATCTTTGATGTGTTTTTTTCTTTAAGGCTGCTCCTGGTCATCCTACAAGTCACTGATGTTCCAGATGTCTTCCAGCCATTTTTTGGTTCCGTTTCATCCATCCAGCCTTTAATATGTGCTTGCACTGTAATTCATGGTGGTAATTTGACCTTTTTAGGCAAGGTCTTTATTTTTAAAATAATGACAGGCCGCAGCTTAGTTCCATTAACCAAACATGACAGAATGACTATGAATTTTTTTTTTTCATTTCCTGTGCTTCTGAGTAAAATAATTTTGTCTCCTCAAATTTCCCCAGTTCTGTTGCTTGGAAGATCGAAGATCATAGGTGTTTCATCCATATTCCCAATATATCCAAGGTCATAATTATGGATCCTTCTTTGTTTTATGATGAATGAATGAAATAACATCACTTTTTCATCAAGGTCTTTTGACAACCTCTGTGAAATCTTTGTTCTTTGCCCCCAAAATAGGGAAAACCTATTCATGAAGCGGGTACACCATCCTGCTGATGCAACAATATTTTCAATGCCTGATGCTTTTGATTTGTCGTCTTTAGCCATTTGAAGGGCATGTAAGTGAATTCTCATGCATGTTACACAGTAACCATTTTGATGACACTCCATAACCCATTTATGCAATTCAGTCTCTAGAGGACCATATGAAATCGTTAACCACGTTGAGCTTTTTTTGCCTTTGGAATCTTTTCCAAGTCAACTTTCATTTTCTGCCACTCCCTCACTTGTTTTTCATCAACACGAAATTACTTACAATACTGTTATTGCTTTCTTCTGCTCTTTACACAACCTTAAGTTTGAAACCAACTTCGTATGACCTGCGCTTTTGTTTTGGTCTGGATTAGAAGTATTGGGTTCCATTTCTAACATGATACAAAAAAAAAAAAAGATTTTGAAAAAGAATGCTGCACCATAGTGATTGAATTCTCAAAATATACCATAAGCCCCACTCCAAAAATAAGCCCTAGTTATAGTTCTTAAAAGCGGTCAATTTACAGTAAAAACTGTGGTGTCCAAGCAACTACTGGTATACATATAAACAAATAAAATCAATTGGCAATAGAATGCAGTAAGACAGATAGACTTCACCACGGAAAACAGATACCCCCCAAAAGAATCGCACTCAAAAGATACCACGACACCAAAAACATGCTGGATCACCAAGGGACCTGACAGTAACTCAGCGTTTGGAAAGTTTGGTATGATAATATTCCAGAACGTGATGACATGACTATGTTTGCGTAGAGCAGCCTATGTTAGGGCTCATACTATACATGCTGTACTATACATGCTGCCTTACCACATGTACACAAGGCAGCTTGTATAGTTTGAGGCCTAGCGCAGGCTGATGATATTCCAGAATGTGATGTCATGACTGTTTGCATAGAGCAGCCTGTGTTAGGGCTCATAATATACACGCTGCATTTGTATGCACTGTGCTACTACATGTTTTGTATTAGCACTTCCCCTACATATGCGGTAACGCTGCATATGCAGTAACACAGTGCGTACACAACACAATGTGTATATTATGAACCCTAACACATGCTCTATGCAAGCTTAGTCAACACTGGGTCCAGATAGGGGTTAATACGAAAATTAAATATAAATTATAGCAGAGTAAGTACTGTAAATAAAAGTACTGTGTATCCACGACCGGAGATATACTGGTACCTGTCTTCAGCAATGCTTGGTCAGAGCAAGGGGACATGACCAAGCATGGATAAGACTGTAAAGGCTACATCATTGGTCACAGCCCTGGAGAAGAGTGGGAGAAGAAGTGCGGCCACATTTGATATTCATCTGACAAGGATGCAGTGCACCCCAGGTACCAGCACACAGAAGCGGGCAGGTTCTTGCCCAGTACAGCAGGGAAACACAGAGGCTGCCAGTGTGCAGGAGAAAAGAAGAGCGGTGATATCAACAGTCATTGGACCACCCATGAGGCTGCAGGTGCCCGAAGGTGAGAGAGAGAGACCAGAGAACACCTGTACTGCACCAGAGAACGTAAGTGGGACCTTCACTCGAGTATAAGCCGCGGGGGCCTTTTTCTGCATAAAAATGTGCTGAAAACATGGCATATACATGAGTATATGTGGTAAATTGCTGGGGGGAGGCGTAGCCACTCTGACAGGGGTCATAACAATGGGAGCATGAGCTGCAAAATGAAATGCTCAACAAAAATGGAATGGAAGATGAATCCCTCAATGAACTAAAGAACACACATACAAAACCAATGGCTAGCATTAGTCTTAACAGAAGGAAGCTGAAAGCCTTCCCCTTGCAATTGGGTACCAGACAAGGATATCCTTTATCACCGTTTCTATTCAATATTGTTCTGAACTTCTTCGCTGAAAGCTATAAAGCAAGAAAGGGAAGTAATAGGTATTTACATTGGGAAAGAAGTAATACTATCTCTATTTGAAGATGATGTGATCTTGTACTTAGGAAATTTCAAAGACTAGAAAGAATATTATAGGAACTAATTGAAATAGCAAAATGGCAGGGTAGAAGATAGATATACAAAACTCAATTGGATTTCTTGAAACTGAAAATGAGAACTCTGCAAAAGAAATCAGGAATTCAATATGATTTACAGTAGTCATCCTAATATTGAAATAATTACAGACAAAGCACAGAAACAAAGATCTATAAAAGAAAGCTACAAAACACTACTACAAGAAGCCAAAATAACCACATATAAATGGAAGACCATGCTATGGTTATGACTATGAACACTTACCATGTCGACACTACAGAAAGAAGTCTACAAATAAACTGCAATTTCTGTTCAGATTCCAACGTCTTTTTTAAAAACTAAAAAATCTAATCAACTTGCTATGAAAGGAAAGGAATCTCAATGAACCATTAGAGAAGAAGTACAAAGTGAGATGCTTCACACTTCCCAATCTTAAAACCTACTACACCACCCCAAAGTTAAAATAGTGTGAGGCTGGTGCAATAGAAACATAGACCAATGGAATATAATCAATAACCCAGATGTAAATTTATCCACTCATGGACAACTGACTCCTAATGACCCCAAGACAATAACTATGTAAAGGAGTAGAAAGCCTCATCTTTCTCTTGTTCTAACCATAAGGTTAATAACCCAACTAGAAAGCCAATATATGACTAATGAACGCTATCACAGTGAGT